TGGGGGTGGGAGGTGATGCAGAGCGGCATGGGGGAATGCGGGGCCAGATATAGAGCGGCAGAGGGGGTACAGCGGGGGGAGTGGAACAGGGCCAGACACATGGTGGTGGCGGTGTGGGGCGGGGGGGAGTGCTGCTCCCCTCCTGCCCCCCCCCCCTCGGTCATTCTTGATGGGCTATTTGCTAGTCATTGATACTGCTGTACAAAAATAACATAGTTAAAGGACAATGTTGACAAAAACACAAATGGGAATAAACTGGCTCTGATTTAAATTTAGACTGGAAATTTGAAGATTTCCCACATTCCAAAGAAATTTACTCTGAAAAAGATTCCCATAAGGAGTATCAGTGACAAAACCTGACTAATTTTTAAGATAGGCATTGATAAATTAAATGGATTGTATGGTCTCATTGCAGTAGTAGCTATTGGACTTTATGATCCTGGAGGTTCTTTCCAGTTGGGAGCAGCAGGGATTAGTAGGCAGAGAAACTATATACATCTACATCCTGAATACACCCTGTCTGCTAGGGTCAGTTTAACTATAGTTGAAGTTCAGTGGTATATGAGTGCTTTGCTGAACTGAGGTCTTTAACCACCACCATGTAAATGTTGATTTTTTATTTACATGGAATTTACTAAATCAGAGGGTATTTTATCCTTGTATTAATGGCTAGATAAGAAATCAGGCAGTGTGAAATTAGGCCTAAAGTGCTCTGCTAATTCATTTCTTCCTAAATTACTGGTTAGTAATTATTGGTTTTATTTGGTTAGTAACAAGTAAATTAAAGGACCATTCTCTAAACTCAGCAACACTGTTGTCAGTCTAGAGCAGCTCAACTGATTTTCCATGTGTTACTTCAGATTATTACTGGTACAAATCAAATCAGAAGCTCTCTCACTGTCCTTAAAACCTCTTTGAAGTGAACCCTTAACAATAGTTAAGATAAAATTTGAGAAAATAATACTCTGACAAGGGCCTGTTACCATTTCATTATTACAACCTCTCCTTCGAGGAAATTTCCTCTAGTTTTAGAAAATACTTGATCTGGCCTGATACTTGTTAACATGAGTTGGCCCAGAAGGAACTAAAACGCTTTTAAACTTGCACCCAAAATGAGCAGAGTGAAACCAAAATTATATTGGGTTTATCTGGGGGTGCTCTTTTTCTAGGCAAAAGAGAAGAATCTCTCCTGAATAGAAGTTAGACAGTCACAGTGGTGTAACTAGGGTGGGAGGATCGGGGCAGCCACCCTGGGCACTGACTTGGTGGGGGTTGGAATAAATTTTGGCTACTGCAGCTGCACAATCATGCCAGTGGCAGACTAGCAACCAGATGGTGCTACTGCCCCTTTGCATGGCAACTCTTCCCAGCACCTGGCTGCATCATTATGCCTATGGGCAACCATTAGCTTATAGCTTGAAATTGTGCATTTTCACATTTTGAAGAATATTGGTTGGATACAATGAAGGTAATATAGTTTTAGAAACAAATGTACATTTCCTTAAAATGGCACAGCTAATTGAATAAAGAGCTTAACTCCATTTTTGCTGAGGAGATGTTGGTTTGACATCTTCTGTTGAACTCAGATGAGTGGATTTAATTTGTGTGAAGGACCCCACTGCCATCAAGGTTTGTAATTCTTTTGCATGACTCTTACTTCTCCTATGTCAGTCACAATTGAAAAACTTTGTTTTATTTGATTTTTGTCTTGAGATGACAAAGCATGTGTTGCTCAGGTTTCACTGAAGACATAATTTGGTCTGTAGAAACCTTATTTCTAAAGATGATATATGAGCAAGCGAGAATTTTCAGTGTGGTCTGATAAATATTTCCCTTCTTTATTTGTAAATTAAGTGCTTTTTAGTATGAAAATTATTGGGGATCCATGAAATTTCATTATGACATTTTTACAGAGTCATTTCTCATAGCAGAACCATGCTATCGGTTCCCCTAGCCCCTGCTGGCATAACAAGGAATAATGGGCACAAGTTGATGGAGAGGAGGTACAGATTGGACATCCGAAAAAACTACTTCACAGTCAGGGCGGCTAGGAGCTGGAACCAACTTCCAAGGGAGGTGGTGCTGGCCCCTACCCTGGGGATCTTTAAGAAGAGGCTGGATACTTACCTGGCTGGACTCATTTGAGTCCCGTTTTTGTTTTTAGGGTGAGTGGTTTTGTTTGTGTTTTTTGGGTTGTTCTCCCGCCCTGGCGGGGGGTCGGGCTAGAAGATCTATTAGGTCCCTTCCGACCCTGAAACTATGAAACTATGAACTATGAATATGCCTTAAAAACATTTAAATCAATCAAAATAATACATTTTGGGCAATCACCTAAATGATTTAGTTGATAAGAACTGCTCAAGAATATAAAATATCCTAAGAACCATTTATTCATGCTTTTTGGGGAATATTTGCAAATATTTTATATTAAAATGAGAACTGGTTCATGAATGATTGAGTGACCAAAAACCAAGCTAAATTCTTCAGATATTTTATTTGCATGAACAATTAAAATGCCTTTATTTTTAAGGATTTGATTTAAAGACCAATTAGCAAGTATTTTCACCATCCTGTAGACTTTAAAATGCACATCGTTTAGTGCATGTATTCTGCCTTGAGCAAGGGGCTTGACTAGATGACCTAATGCTGTCTCTTCGTGCCCTATTTTTCTATCATTCTATGTACATCTCTTTCCTTGTAGAAATCATACACAGTATTTTTCTAGCTATTGGTTTAATAGCTTATAAAGTGTATCAGAGAAATACTAAGCTGATTTCAGGATGGGTCATTTAATACTTATCATTTAGCATCATCTCCACTTTTAGTACCTAAATAGTACATCCTTTTTTGGCCCTAGTCCTTTACAAAAAAAAGTAAAATAGCTCTTGGAGAAAAACACATTTAGTGGTGGGAAGTTCATAACGTGGGCATTACATCACAGAGACTTGGCAGTTATGTATCATCTCTGAAAAATTTCTGTCAGTTTCCCGTGGTGATGGATCCTGATTTACAAGCTCTGGCATCAAAGGTGAGATGACTGAGTTTTCTTTAAAGGGTTGTCCTAATTCATTGAACCCAGCAGCAAAAAGGGATTAATATTTAACCAAGATATCAGTGAAGGCAAATGGTTCATTCATAGCTTACTGGTAACATATGCTTCAGGTGAAACAGTGCTCCAAGTATTTTTGTAGATGTTAGGATACTTTTTTCCCCTCTAACTCTATGCATTAATTTTTCCTCCATATTTTTTGAATTATCTTCTAAAAGCTTGACAGTTCAATGAACTTCCATTTAGTGCTTGAGAAATGCATAACTAATGACCGTAGTTTCACAAACTGAAGGTTGCCTTGTACTTTGAAAAAAGGGACGAATGACGTAAACAAATAGTCGTCAAAGCAAGTGTTCTTCCATTTCCTGATTAATGTGTGCAAGTATGGATCGAGGTATCTTCATACGTACTATCTTCTTCTTTCATAGGTTCACTTGCTTTGTAAGCTAAATTCAGTCTACGCTTTTTATCCTAGATACTTAAATGTGCAACCATTTAGCATGTTCTAGTTGGCATATGTGCATTTTCAACTTTGTGGGTCTATAAAAGCACCCATTTATTCATGTAAATTTTTACCAAGATTCCAGACAGGAATGATAAGGAACATTTCTAGGCCAAAGCTCTACATAGAGAGGGACAGAGAGAGGTATAGGGAGGAGTTTTGAGGATACAAATGAACATTCTGTATCATTTTCACAGGATAACTGGGGCATAATTAGTAAAACGCTCCCCTTGTTTTCCTTTTAAAAGAAATGCTTTCTTTTTTTTGTCACCCTCCTAGAGTGGGAAATGTAGCAGGAGATCTGAAAGAGGTTTTAATTACATACCTCAATGGAATGAGTACTGGTACATCTCACGTGTGATTTTGTATCACAGAAACTAAACCATTCTTTCATCTCTTGAGATTTTGCGGATAACAAGAACATAGCAAAATATTGTGAGAACATGATTCTGTATGCAGACTTACATTTTGAATGATTTTGTTTGCAGCAGTATAGATGATGAGCATTTGATAGCATGTAATGCTGGGCATCTTTTAAAAGATAAATTTAATTCCATGGATGCAAATGTGTTCTGACCAACACTTCATGCAGCTCCCTGACATCAGGGTTTACATCAGTGTAAGTGATATGAGGATCTGGCTCCCTGATTCTAATGCTCTGTGTACTATAGCATGTTAAGCTGCACTGCACTGCATGGAGTATCTTGGCAGCTTTTAGTGCACTCACAATACTTTCAGCGCATCGCCATTCCTCATAGTTGCTTCTATCAATTTTGTCAGGAGATGGCTGTGTTTAGCTTTCTGCACAGCTGTACTGCATGTCATTTACTGTTATCAGATCATGACAAATCATTCTTTTCAAGGTGCAAACCAGGATTTTCAGTCCATGGTATCTGTAGGAATTTCTTTAAGGGCATTGTTGCAGATCTCCACCCAGTCACTTTAATTTTCTTTGCCAATATCCTGCAATTTGCAGATTTTTTTGTGTGGAGGTAGTACATAAAATGTGCATCCCATTGGTATGTTATTCCTCCAAAAACAAGCGGGGAATGATCTTAATTAAAGCTTTATGTTCCAGAGCATATTTTTAGCTGTCTGTCTCCAATATCTACTTCAGGGCACACTTTAATAAGGGCAAGAATTTTGTCACACATCTGAACCTCACTTTATTAAGACAAAAAGATAAACTCAGAAAAAAAGAAGTGTGCAATAGCTGAAAATCTAAGCATAATCATATACTTTTACTTATTGTAGCTACCAGCTACAAAGTTTCAGTAGGACAAGGTACAATATTGCATGTGTAAAAGTATCTAACCATAGTCCTTGATTAGGATACCTGAAAAAACTTTTTCCAAGGAAAAAACTTTTTCCTTGGAAGCATTTTCTTGAAGTCTTTTGGTGACCGTAACACCTTTTAAGGAATAAGATATTTTAATTTTGAATCACCAGATTCTGATGTAGTTGTCACACTCTTTAACATGGAAGAAAAATAGCTGAATCCATGGAAACAAATGTCAGCCAGCTAAAACAACAGAAAACTTTATGGAAGAAGGACAAAGCAATGTGAGAGTACACAGCAGCCAGCTTCTCCCAACTTTTGATGTCAGCATCTGTTTTCTTGAGGTAAGCCTTCAATGAGTCCTTGTACATTTCCTCTGGCCACTGCAAAAGGCCCCAACTAAGTTGGAAGTAGAGTACTTGGGAGTTAGAGTCAGGTGGAGAGACATCTGCAAACAGTATCCAGTCCAGCGAAGTTGGTGGTTGAAGATCACCAACTTAGTGCTAGTAACATTGGATTTAGCAAGGATGTTGGCATTTGTTCAGCAATCTTCCCATTTGACGTGGAGGTTTTTTGGGAGTCATTGTTGGTGATACTTCTCCAGGGTCTTGAGATGACGATGGTAGTGGAAGCATGAGCATGCTTCACATCTGGAGACCAGAGTGGGGATGATGACTGCTTTGATGACGGCTCTGGAAAGACACCTGGATCTTGGTGTCTTTCCAGAGATTCTGGTTAATAAAGACATCCTACAGCAATTTCCTGAAGGAGGCACTTGCACACTGGATCCTGTGCTGAATCTCCTCATCAATGTTCACTCTGAGTGAGATGGCTATCGAGGTAAGGGAAGTGCTTGGCTACCTACAAGGTCTTTCCTTTGATGGTAATTTGTGTGTGTGTGTGTGTGTGTGTGTGTGTGTGTGTGTGTGTGTGTGTGTGTGTGTGTGGTGGGGGGGGGGGCACATTAATGGCCTGTAGCAGGATGGTAGAACACTTTAGTCTTCTTGATGTTGAGAGAGAGAGACTCAAAGTTTGGTAGGCATCTCTGAAAAGATCCAATGTGGTCTTTTAGTTTTCCTCAGTGAGAGCAAGGATGGCACAGTTATCAGTGGGTTGATGGTTGTTTGAGTACTTTGGTCTTCAAGTGAAGATGACCCAGATTGAGGAGACCTCTACCCATTCAGTACTCCATGTCAATTTCAGAACAAAGAACCAGGATGACTGTCAGAAGAATGGAGAACAGAGTTGGGGTGATGATACATCTTTGCTTTGCCTCAGTTCAGATGACAAATGGGTCTGTCTCTGATCCATGGAATAATTGCAGTCATCTGGTCATGGAGGAGCCAGTTTACATGCCCAGAGTTACTGAAGGTATAGGTTTTGCTGGATTTGCAACTTTAAAAATGTGTTCCTATGTGTTTTTCTGGCACTTTATAGTTTTACAAAAATGCTAAAATAAACAACAATTTAGAAGTAAAAATTGAACCATGGAAAAACTTCTGGTTTTAGTTCTTTTTATAATTGAAACACAGGACCAGAACTGCTTATAATATTGGTATGAAATTCATCCTTTCTTTTGAGTCTGATTGCTTTGTGGAATTGTGATTAATTGATGCCGTTCAGGGAGACAAAGTTTCTTGCTCCAAGCTGTTCATTTTGCTAGAAGCTGTCAGACAGTGACCTAAAATAATATTTATTTACAAACCTATAGAAAGAAGACAAGTGGTGTTCATCAAATATTCTGTCATTCCAAAATGGGGATACCCTATGCTTACCAGGTAGGAGTCAAGGAGATTACACTGTCTCCCTAGACTTTCTAGACTTGCTCCTCAGCTGCTATACATTTGGCAAACTTCTGTTGACTTCATTACACAAACAGATATTTTCTGAGGTCATCTGTGTCTACTTTAACTTCTCCAGTTTTGTGCTTTGTTTTCTTCTTATCACTGTAGCAGTAGTATTGAATTGGCAGAAACCCAGTCAGCTATGTTCAGGTTATTAATGTGGATGGTGGTCAGCCAGCATATATTTGATAGTAAGCAACTGGGTCAGTAATCCACAATTCATTGATACCGACAGACACGGGCCATTAGGGGATTGTAAATATAATGCTGGCATAACCTTAATTATAGTCAAGATCAGCAGCACAGCCAGAGTTAAGTATGAGTTGAAGTATCCTTTATAAAATCCGTTTTTCAGTGGTTTATAGGATTCAGTTATGGTAATTTGCATTCAGATAAACCTGACATAAAATTGTCAGCTCAAATGCAGATTTCTTTCTAAAAATGGTTCAAATAAGTGTCTGGCACATAGCAATCAGCTAAACCATCATTATATAGAGGAAGATTTATGTGGCCAGCGATAGTTAAATTAAAAATAAATTTTACATGCTCACAATTTGCAAGCAATTATCATTGATTGACTTATCTTTGTGTATTTAGAATAAATATTCTGTAAAGATGTCTGCTTCTGATCTTATAATACACCAGCTACAAAAAAAAATCCAGTCCAATTAACTGTGTTACAATGCTGGAATATGGTTCAAGTTAAGTGAGAATCCAGCCTCATGTTTTTGTACCTTTAAAAAACAGCTACTATGTCTAATAGGTGTAGTGCTAATATAGATGGTATTATTCTTAACTTTCAGTATTCACTTTCCAGAGTGCTGCTGCTTGTAAAGTTTGTATTCCCAAATGTTCTCAAGAAGCAAATACAAACAAATCAGGAAAAGATCTGTAGCTAAATGATTTAAAAATGTGTCTTATATAAAGGTCTCTCTCTTGCCCCTTCCCAGTAATGTAAGGCCTAGTCAGAGCTGAGTGCTTGTATTTCTTGGAATGGTCCTTGTCCAATCACATGACTTCATCATTATGAAGGGTGTCCTTCCTACACTTCATTTAGAGTTTCTCCCCTCCCCCAATATGGCAAAATGAGAAGCTGCAGCAAGAGGTCACTAGCCAATCAACATAGTGAACTGATTGTCTAACCTAAGTAATTACTGCAGTCGCCACAGGTAATAACTTTTTGCTCCTACTGACAGATCTGCACGGCCCTGTGGTAACCAAGGTTATCTAAACAGCTTAGCTTGTAGTTTAATATTGCACCACAGAATAGAAAAACTTGCTTTATCAAGTAGATTCTAGTTAAAAGCTTAAGATCATTTTCTTGTATAAACCCCTGGAGCTCAATAATTGATTCCTTGTCAAAGTTCAGATCCCATGTGTATAAGTGCATTAAACTTAAAAAAATCTATGAATATAGCCTGTGCTTACAGACATACATGTGTATATGAGCATATGCACACACACACACACACACACACACACACACACTTTTTATTTATTTATTTTTTAAAGAGTTTGGAAATTTTAAAGTTTAAGACTGCTTAAGTTTGTAGGAAATGTGCTGCTTATTGAACAAGCTTTTCTTTCTGTCCTACTGGCCATTTGTTGCTGTATTTACTTTTTATAAGTATCTTACTTGCATGCTACTTTGTGAAATACCCTTCAATCCAAACAGAGTACCCTCTCAACCCCATTTTCATTTGAGTCCATATTTTCTTAAAGGTGTTTTCCATTATGCAAAAGTCCTACAAAATTCAGTGGAGATTAAACTGATAAGATTTTTTTTAGAAATGTAGTAGGTTTCTATTAGGGCTGTGCAAAGCTTCGGATTGCAATTCAGATTTGGAGATGATTCAGACAATTTGGAGGCTGAATCTATGAATCTGAATCAAATCACTAGAAGCTTTAGGCTTTCTGAATTGATTCAGAAAAGATTTGGCGATTCGGCCATAGGATATAATGGGGAATCAATAAAATATCTATAACTTTGTTGTTCTTTGTGTGATTCAGATGAAACTTGCAGGGTTGGTAGCTGCTGCTGAGGGCATGAAGCCTGCCAAGTGTCAAGGTGATAGGTGCAGGGGTTTCTGGGAAACTGCACCTCAAATCCTGAAAGCAAAACTCATGTCACATGGGTGTGTTAAGCCACAGTCGGGTGAAAACTGCAGGGATGGTAGCCCTGCTGCTGCTACAAAGCCTGCCAGCTGTCAAGGAGATAGGTGAAGGGGGAGTCTTGGTTCTGGGGCCCTGTACCTCTGGCCACAGGCAGAAAAAACTCATGACATGGGTGCTTGTGGGACTGTGTGTGTGTTCAGGTGCACTCTTTCTGGTGCTGGGGCCTCTGCACAGCATTGCAGTGTGCCCCCATGAGGCCTCCTCCTCCCGTACAGCCTCGATCTGGTCCACCACTGTAAACAATGGCAGGTCAAAATAAGTTTAATAGATTTCATAGACATTAGGGCTGGAAGGGACCTCGGAAGATCATCGAGTCCAGCCCCCTGCCCAAAGGGCAGGAAGTCAGCTGGGGTCATAGGATCCCAGCAAGATAAGCATCCAGTTTGCTTTTGAAGGTGTTCAATGTAGGCGCTTGAACCACCTCTGGCGGCAGGCTGTTCCAGACCTTGGGGGCTCGGACAGTAAAGAAATTCTTCCTTATGTCAAGCCTGAAACAGTCTTGTAGTAGTTTATGACCATTCGACCTAGTCATCATCCCTTGGGGCGCTCTGGTGAACAAACGTTCCCCCAGATAGTGGTGGTCACCCCTGATAAACTTATAGGTGGCCATCAGATCACCCCTGAGCCTGCGCTTTTCCAGGCTAAAGAGCCCCATGGCTCTCAGCCTGTCGTCGTAGGGTCTGCTTCCCTGACCTCTGATCATGCGCATGTCTCTTCTCTGGACTCTCTCAAGCTTCTCCACATCCTTTTTGAATTGTGGAGCCCAAAACTGGACGCAGTACTTCAGCTGCGGCCTCACTAAGGCCGAGTACAAGGGGAGAATGACGTCCCGGGGTTATCTGGTTCAACACCAATAGTACCAGCAGCATCAAAGGTATCCAGACGGAACTGTCTCAGAACCTTTCTTTTTATAAAGGAATTGACAGCAAGATGTAAAGATGTTGTGTTGGATATATGTTACTTGTGGTGTGTGATGGCTTATCTTGTGTTTTTATGTTTATATGTTTATTATGAAAAAAAACCTGAAATAATTAGAAAAATATATTTTAGGAAGCTTTTGGTTGAAAAACCCTTTGACAGGCTGAGGAAGTACCTGCAGTTGGTGTGTCTCCTGGTCCTGGATGGAAGGAATAGTAAAGAAGCCAGAGGCTGGCCTGGCATGCAATGAAGACAATAAAGCCAGTCAGTGAAAATGGAAATGGAGGTGCCAGTGGGTGAGGGACAGGCTGGGGGTGGGGGGAAGGGGGATGTAGCAGCGCAGGTAAAAGTGCAGAGGTACCTGGGGAGTCAGATGTCTGAGTTTTGCTTGCCTGAGGCCAGAGGTGCAGGGCCCGAGAACCCACACTCCCCCTGCATTTTTTTTACCCCCCTGTGCGTTAACACACACAATGTCACCTGTGTCATGAGTTTTGCTTGTCAGCAGTATGAGGTGCAATTTCCTAGAAATTCCTGCACGTATCTCCTTGAAACATTGCAGACTTTGTGGCCTCAGAAAGAGCTACCATCCCTGCAATTTTCACTCCACTGTGGCTTAATACACCCACATGACATGAGTGTTGATTTCAGGATTTGAGGTGCAGTTTCCCAGAAACCCCTGCACCTATCACCTTGAAACATGGCAGACTTCATACCGTCAGTGGCAGCTACCACCCCTGTAAGTTTCATCCAAGTCAGGAAAAGAACAACAAAGTTGTAGATATTTCATTGATTCCCCATTATACCCTATGGCCGAATCGC